TATCTGAGTGCACTTCTTACCCTACACCAGCCAGCACGAGATCTCAGATCAGCACATAAACTCCAGTTTAGTGTCCCTATGGTCTCACTCAAAGCATTTGGCAACAGAACTTTTGCTCACACTGCATCTGTGCTCTCCAATTAGGCAATCTCCAACTCTGGACACTTTCAAGACAAAACTAAAGACTTATCTCTTTAGATGTGTCTATGACCCTGTGTGAGGCGCTATGAGCGACTACGTAGACGGAAATGGCGCTGAAGAAATGGACTTTATTATTATTATATCATTCGTGACCAACTCGTGTTATTCCGGGACAAGCCGAATAGCGACTCGTGCCCCTCTCGTGGCCATTTTTGCAACCGGGTTCCGTCTTAGCGCAAACGGGCATACCTAAAACAATTGTCAACTCGTTGCGCAATGGAAAACATATATTTCCCTATATATGGTTTGTATTTCAGATGCAATTTAAAGCACGTCAGGACATGCGGAATTATACAGTATGATTGACAACATTTAACTGTGTCTTGGGTATATTTTTAGATGCAAGACACATGTAAAAACAGAAATTATTTCTGAGGCATTCTTTGACGAAGAACTTGAAATCATACGCGCATTCTGATTGGTTTGTCGTAGTTTCGCACATAACATTCATCGATAGGGGAAGGACTCGTCTTGCAGGTTACGGAAAGGGGCGAGTGGTGACGAATGCCGTGTATATATGTGCGAACAGATCAGCAAAATGATGCGCATGCTTCAACCATTGGTCACATGGACCTCGGATTTAGAGTTCGTTACCTGCTGTCAGTATCTTACACATGTGAACATCCTTCATGTAGTGACTGTAAGGTGGGATAGTCCAGTGGATAAAACGTTCCCCCGTCTCGCCGAAGGCACGGGTTCGATTCCCCACACAGGTACAAAGTGTGAAGCCGATGTGCGGTATCCCACGCCATGATATGGGTTGAGTTGAGCTAGAAACGGACAAAATCATACCCACCCACCTTTTTTGTGACTGACATAGGGTCGGTTGAGCAGATGTCGGGTAAGCGTAGTTTGTAGTATATCCGCTTACAATTCAGGTCCTTATGATTAAGGGGGGCACGGGTGACCCAGTCGTCTAAGGCGGCGCGATTCGCTGTGGAGGGTTGCGTCCCTTGAGCATTCCAGAAACCTATGATTGTGGGTTCGAATCCCTGTTCACCCCAATTATGTTTCAAGGTTTGTCAGCACTATACTTGTGCTCGTGGGTTTCACCGAAGTGATAAACGTCTTAGACCTGCATCACTTCGGGCTTTCCTCCCACATTAAGCTGACACGCCGTGATATAACTGGAATAATGTTAAAAGCGGCGTTAAACCCAACTCACTCACTTACTCACCTTATGAATATAGAGAAATATACAGGCTAGATAATTCAATTCATGACCTTGATGTAAACTCATTTTCAAGAACAGTTAATTCTCTTTTAACACGAAGGAACGAAAACAGTCAACAACGGAAACTTAGGTTTTATAATACAGATGCTACTTTTGATTCTAGATCATCCTTTCAGCAATGTTGAAACTCCGTCAGACAAAATTACTTATGAACAAAGAAATATCGGACACCACATTTGAGTCACAAAATCTGATAGAATTGACCATGACAATGAAACTCTTTCATGATTGAAAGGGATAGCAACTATTCATTTGGTAATGCCTAACCAATCGACATTCAACTAATCATATATTCATTGGTAGTTAATTACATTTTTTGATCGATAAGGACAAACGCTTTCAGTCAAACTAGTGTAGCAAAGCACCTCTCAATTATATATTTATCATTATAACGCTAAAAGAGGTTTCTTTTCCCTGTGTGGTTTTATAATACATTTCTTACATGTTGTCATGATGTAAATATCTGAAGGCTTGGTTAAAATGTTAACAAAAAAAGTTACCACACCCCTATTTCTAAACCATGACAAATGGCAAAAATCATGGCATGTTGTGACTGACCACAGGAGCTGGGCGATACCAATGTCATCGGATAGACCAAACATTTGGCACCAAATAAAGAAGATTTTGGTGAGTTGTGATGAAATTAATTGACAAAAATATCATGGTAACACAGGCACTGTGTTTGACCTTAAACAATACCTAAAAAACGTATGGAACTGCAGGATTTAGTAGACGAGTTACGTTTGATGGTTCATGTGAAAATGTCCCTTAAAGTCTCTACTTGACATGACACGTGAAACAGATCAGAAACCGCCACGTGCACGGATGACGCATTCCACCCTACGCCTCATGCCTCCAGTCAGACGTTGGATCTGTTGATGGGTCAACAACAACCAGTCCTGGTGCAATGCTGCTTCCAATTGGCGTAAATCTTGTACAGGAGGATCTCGCCCCAGAATATCCAAAACATCTTCAAGGGAGTTCAAATCAGGGCTCATTGCTGGCCAGGATAGAGTCGTTATTGCATTGGCCCTCATGTAATCCACGACTGCACGCGAACGATGAGGGCTGGCATTGTCATCCAAGTACCGAGGTCGAGTAGCAAGAGGGTGGTTGTCAAAATGAGGAACGATGACTGGCCTTTAAACGCCTCGGATGTACTGAGCCCCTGTTAAGCTGCCCCTTATGGTGACCAAATCTAACCTGCAATCAAGAGAGATACACCCCCAAACCATTACCGAGCCCCCGCCGTATGCAACAGTCGGTTTAATGTTTCTGGGGGTGTAGTCCGTGTTCAGGTGCCTCTAAACTCTCGTTCTGCCATCAGTGACGTGGAACAGAAAGTCTGACCAATGGATCCGTCACCAAGTTCCTAGATTCCAGTTCGGTCGAACAATACACAACGCTAAACGAGCAGCTTTGTGGAGATCTCTCAACATGGGACGCTTGATGAATCGTCCAGCCCTCACTCCTGCTGCTTTCAGCCGGTTCCCGGCGGTTCTGGTGCTGAAACGATTATTGGGCAACCACAGCTGTTTCAGACGAGTACTTGTTAAAAAGGGTTCTCGGCGTATGAGACGAAGAAGGTCCCTGTCTTCGAGATGTGTCGTCACAGGAGGTCTTCCCGCACTGGGACGGTCCTGTACATCACCGGTCTGAGCATGTTTCTCGACTAAACGGCTTACGACAGTGTGATGTTACCCCAAATTCCGACCAATGGCATTACAAGACATCCCTGGGTTATGCATGCCGATTATTTGCCATCTTGTGGCGTTTGATAATCGCCTTCGTGCCATGGTCACACAACGTCATGGAATAACTATTTAAAACCGAGCTTAAGAAGGCAATTTTAACGTTTGGATATACTGCTGTTAGAGGTACTCGAGGGTAGCATGCTGCACGGGCAGCATAATCATAAAATTCTCGATTTTGATTGGACAGTCAACAAAATCACAATAAAATTAGACAAAATCAATTTAGACTGAAAACCGCGTCTGATTTTATGAAGGTTTCACTGCGCACTAATACAACCGTCATCACTGCCACACTACTTCCGTTTGACCACCAACATGGCCGATATCAACACGTGATTGATTTCGGATTTTTTTATGTCAGAATTTTCTCCGATATAGATATGGTGCAGGCTTGGCAGAAAGGTTCTCCACATGTCTACCTTAAAATTGTTTGAAAGCTTTACAGAAAGATGTTAAATATGGAATATGAGGTAGTCTCGCCTTTATTTCTAGTTTAGGTGGGAAAATGATTGGAGAAGGATTAGCTATTTGATGGTAATTGAACGATATCGGATCATCGATATACCTGAAGCTTAAGTTAAACTTCTTGGCCAAGTTACCTTGTGTCGACTTTGCCAATCAAAGCAGAAATTCCGACTCGTATGCATTAAGAAACAGATCAGAAAAAATCGGGGATGCCCACTTCTTGCCTAATTTCTGTCCCAAATATTTACATAGATGTTATCAATGAGATTGTCCAGCATGCCTAAAAAAAACTAAAAAATATAATCGCTGGAAGTCGTCCAACAAAGTTTAACGTTCAATGTCAAATCACACAAACTCTTAAATGACAATTTCATTTTCGCGGATGAGGTTTTCGCTCAGAATCATCTCAACATTAATTTAGAGGCCAATGGTTGCATGGAATAAGGTAGATCTGGTTGATCACAACCGTACACATACATGTAGTTCAACCAGCAAGGCATCTCTCCCTCTCACTACCGCAATGTCAGCTTAACGGGGTTCCGCCTGAGGTCGAAAGTTTGTTCCCTCCGGCATGCGTGTGTTCGACGTATCACACACGGGTCTCAAACCGTTCAGTCAAATAGTATATATATACATATTAAATGGTAACAGTCAGGTAAATATGTGCATTTGCAGCTATTTATTAACAATTAAACTTACAAGTGTATTACACATCGTGCCATAAGTTGTAGTGCGATAGGCTATTTTGGGTCATCAGCCGACCATTAGAATGGAGACCTAGGTGGGTAGAACATTGCAATGGCACACACCGTGTACTCAGCTCTCAGATGGATAATCTTATCCCGATAGACGCTACTAATTTGTAAGAAAATCCAGAGGTGCATAGACATTATGTATGTACCTCAAAACTGACTATTGTTGAGGTATGATTTTAGTTTGTCCGCAAGTTCTTGCAGTTGACTAGGATCCACTGCGAAATACCTTTTTGCAAATCAGGGTAGCCACCGCTCGTGTAGTTCAAAACTTACTTTCACTCGGAATATACGTTTTGAATTACACTTGTAATGAAAACAGTATCTAACGAAAACTTGTATTGTCGTCTGTGTTTTCATACCCAAACAAATAAAAATTTCAAGCAGTGATCAATAGCGATACTACAACTATTTGTGCTTCACGATTGGTATTTTACACTGAACGTTCCAAATAATTATTCAAAATGTAATCAGATTGAAACCAACATTTAAAACCTAATTCGTTATATACCAGTCGGCTGCATTGTGAAGGGATAGTAAAACTATAAATAATACATAAATAAATATGCTCGATAAAGAATGATAAACGCGTACCTGCAGTTGCTGCGCTTGCTGAAGGGATCAGTGTCATGAGCAACGTTGTTTCAAACAACGACATCGGAGGCGACATGCTGACTACTTCCATGCACTAAGTCAATGTCGTTATTGCTGAGTATGTGTGGGTAAGTGGACTGCACAACGCCGTGTTGTCATGGTGGCATCAATACGTTCCTCCTGACGCTATTGGTGTAGATGTGAAGACAATGAATCGTTGATGCCATTCAGATAGTATACGGCTTAGTGTGCTTACTTCAGCACACTCTTGTTGAGCAACATATAATCAAACAAAACAAAACGTTAATCCGTTTGTCTGATACTCTTTACAAGTAAGTAATTCGGTAATTATTGCTTAACACCGCAAAAGCGATCTTGCAGCTACGCAGGTATGCAAACGGGAAAGGAGAATTTTGTTTACTCCAGCCTAGACTATAAAAAAAACATTTAAAAAAGTAGAAACTGTTTTTCGAATCGATATACAGACGCCATACATGTATCATTTCGTCAAAGGCACACGACCCAACGCGCACCGATATGCCTAATCCAACTCCCCAGATCTTCAGCCTGTGTCTTGTCATGCCTTCAAGTTTGTTGACACCTTCTCCGCATACCAATCAGTGGACTGATTCATAAAAAGCGATCCCAAATTGCGTGGATCGATGTTCATGATGTAAATCACAGGATTGTCTGGTCGAGACTCGATTATTTACAGACCGCCGTCATATAGTTTGAACATTGCTGAGTTCGGCATAAAACAACAAACTAAAATCATAATGTTTGTGAACACTATTAATGCAAACAGTAAGTAAGAGATTTGTTTACACTAGCTTGGCGTGTCTACTCAGACCAGACTAAACAAATGTTTAAATTCAACCTCATGGCAAGGGACAGTTTATCTTCACACGCCCAGCACATGTGAGTTCACAAGATATAGTTCATAATGTCCAAGTACATCTCTCTGTCTTCCGAGACACCTAAGAATGTCTTCTACGACTCTCCTGTAACAAGGCTCATTAGACAACAGATGTCCCCTGCAACCGCAAGAGATCCAGGTGGAATTTGAAATTACCGCCATCAATCCCATAGAAACTGTGTTCCCAAACTGTGATGTCAGTTGATGTTATTTCCATTATTCTGAGGCTCTGTGCAAGAAGGTTCATAATGTAATCTGGGCTTCAGTGAAGTCTACCAACAAGACCTTGATCTCTACAGATGGGTTAAATGCGCTGCAGCAGTTCCGTTCCTCGCAGCCAGTGTAGTGCAAGATGTTAGGATGGAGATCTTGGAAGATGTTCCTGTCATTTTACAGACACGGGAGTTTCATCGCAATATGACCAACACTCGGGACGATGACCATGGACATTTCTGCCTTGGGATCTGGAACCACCATCACAATCTCGATTCTCGCACAATCATTTGGAGGGGTGGCACTATCATCGCAACAAGGTGGTCCTGAGGGCAGATCCTGACATAGGTGCTCAAGGTGCCGAGGAGATTTGAGAAGACCATGAGAAACAAGTTTGACAAGATAACCCATGGCGCCAACTCCACAAGAGGACTTACAGTGAGACTGACCAGAGTCTGACAAGACTCAAAGACCACATCGGAGCAGTTTTGGATACTCCTCTTGAGTTCCTGACTGCCGCCGGACATGTTGTCAAGATCTCTTCATGACTGCGAGTGTGCTATTGTATGTCTGAAATATCACATGAACATAACATATCAAACATCCTATACTGTTTGGTACAGACCGGTCCATGGAATGGTAATTTTTGCAACCTAAAGCATTTATTTTTCGACACCTACCGAACCTTCACACGATTAGCCTTGATATTTGCAATGAAAATGAAGTGATTATGAAAAGACATAAATATGTTTGAACTAACTAAAATGAAAATGATTACGTTCAGTGAGTGAGCTTTTAACATTATTCCAGTTATATCACGGCGTGTCAGCTTAATTGATTACTTTGAGTCACAATTTAACCTAGTCAATGTAAATTTACCTCTTACGTCACAGAATAACTTATAAATTCCTTGTTAGCAATGTTAATGCGATCTTACCTAAATTATACAAAGACAACGTTTACTTCGTAAACCTGTTCTCCGTATGAAACTTCAATTGTTGCCATTGACATTGTTTTTATAACTTTCAAGCGTCGAAATATTTTTTTATTTTTTTCACATCATTTAATGTTTCTTAGGTATGTTCTCTGTTTATATAACAGATCCATATGTTCTGATACAGAATGAATCATATTTCGTTTTTTATTATCCCAGCGACGCTTACTGAGGGTCCCGAGGGTTACTGAAGAAGTGAGGCAATTATGATAATCAGGGAATCTGTATGCTTCCCTCTCTAAATGTATTCCTTTGAAGGACTGTTAATAAGTTTGGCTTTAAGTATTGGTACTATTTTTACACCACAAAGGTAAATCCTTAAAAGCCTTGTCAACTGGTGCATCCATTTAAAGTGGTTGAAACGATATTTAGTCCCATAATAGTATAAACATTGGTAAATTTGAACCAGCAGAAACTAACAGGCAACCTCTGGATGTAACCTCCTAAAACCCCTACATCCCATTTCCCCTACAGCTTAAGACAACAAAGTTCACGGTCCATGGCACTGCTAATCCCTAGTCTGTTACCTATTTCATACAATGGAACAACCCAAGAAACTCGAATAGATTGAGATAAATATTTAATTACGATTACGATATTATTCAAAATTCATAATACATTATAATAAAATGTTCATTTTTCAAAATTCATAATACATTATAACAAAATGTTCATTTTTCATCTCAACTGTAAATCGTCTCATCTCAGTTTCTCAGTGTATCAATTGTTTCTTCCTATTGTTATTTTTTTTGTAATTTCTAAAAATTGTCTTCTCATCATACAGGCATCTTTCATTACACTTACATTAATTCTTTTTTTTAAAAACTTTCCTTTAAGTCCCTCATCCCCTAAAGCTCTACCCCTTTCATTTCTACTACCTCTACTCCAGAACATAATCTCTCCTTTAGGTGAGTTCATAAGGCCAGACAGGTAAATGCCGCGTGTTGTTTTAACTAATTGTAGAACTGGGTTGTAGGGGAAATGGGATGTAGGGGTTTTGGGAGAAAACCCCTCTGGCCTATGTCACCGCCAAATGTGTCAACGACAATTACGAAAGTTGAGTGCATTGCAAAATTACGATGTCACTCAACAGGTATACATATCAATAGAATCAATTTCGTTGTATAATGTAGAAATGGGTGAATTTGAAAGTAATAGTTGACTTATTTCACTTTCTTACACACCTGTGGGTGAGAAACCCATTGGAGATAACTGGTATCAAACATATGTGTGAGATCGAATTCCAGGCCCGTGATTGGCTACTCCATGGTGATGACCTAGGGTCAGATGATGACGGACTACTTTCCTGAGTGTAAGTCATTCATAAGTTGCTCGTGCTTCAGTCGAATGTTCACCTACGTCTGTATTGAAAAACAGCACCGTGTAATTAATAATAAAAATAAACAAACTCTTCCTCGTCTGCGAGTTTGTTTGTTATTATTATCAGTTACATTATATGTTGTTATGTCAACATTATCGTGTTTTCAGAGTGTAAACCCCCAGGCTGCCACAGCGACACATATGTCCCTTCTCTTCAACCCTCACTTCGAAATCGAATAAAATTCAAAATACATCACGCAAACACTTCACAGTTTTGAATTCCCCCTTCTGTTTATCATTTACTGTCATTTTAGGCAATTCAAAATTACTGAAAGTTAGGTACATTGTAAATCTCGCCAAATCACAATTCACGGCGTTATATAAATATTTACTGTGTGTTTAGAAATCTAAATATCGGATATTTACTCGAATAATTAAAGTATAAAAATACCATATTAGCGATCACGGGTATCAAATCACTAATGATAATTCTGAAACGTCGCTGATAAGCCTAGAATCGTCTAGAATGTTTTGGAAAATATGCATACACGAACGCCGAAGCGTTCCGCCATATTGGATTGTGTTTACAAAATGACGGTTATGAGACGCCTATACTCGATCAGGTATATTTCAAACTCCGCTGATATACATGCATCCCTGAATTCCTCATACAGTTTCGAAACAATGGATAAAGGGTCTTTGTCACCAATGCAAATTATCTAGATGAAATCATGCGAAATAAATTAGGTATGGAAACGAAAACTGTGCTCGGAAAATTGAACTTGTTGAAATGTAAACAAAGCAAAATTCAGATTTTACACTGTGTAGCATTAAAGAGGTACTTTCGTCTAATTGTTGCATACACTGGCTCGATCACGCGTTTGAGAATATTCATGGGAAGAGTATCGTTGCACTAATTATGGAATTACACATATATACATTACAATGATGTGGTAAATTCAACAGAAGCCGTAAAAGTTCCGTCCTGTGTGACGACATGACTGACGCTAAATCACGCACAACGATGACGGTAGTTATCTGCATTTCAGACTAATTCTCTTTGTTACATTGGAAAACATGGTAAACAAATAACAGTACGCAGATTGTCAGAATGTTTCTGATTACTTACGTGACACATTTATGTGTATACGATCCCTCAATCAACGAAAATCTCCTCTTGAAATCCCGCGTACTGTTCTCAGTGAACACGCCATTTTGTAAAAGTCGGTCACCGGTAGTGATGTCATATGGAAGTAAACATTGTTGTACATATTTGGTCATTTCTTTGAGGTGTAAACTTTCAACTTGGCACCCAGCGTGTTCTTGGTTTTTGTCTAGTATGCATTTTCATCATCGCCTTGATAATCCACAGATAGGACGGAAACCTTTTTGTGTAGGGTCACATTATTTATGAGTAGTAAGCAGCACATAGGATGACGTCACTTATGACAGTGGTATTATGTATTAATGCGCTACTGCAATCATGAGACAAAATTCATCGGTTCGATGCTAAAAAGGTGCGATTTTAGGGTGTGTAAGAAACAGATTACTGCACTCGTGTCTGTCAGATACCATTGATCATACAACTCGTTGTTACAAAGCGTATCTAACTCGCTTTCGCTCGTTAGATACGTTTTGAAACAACTCGTTGTAAGATCAATGGTAT